CACAGGAAGAAACGTCAGGATATGGCTCTGCAGTGACATTGTAAAGGGACCCAGGAAACTGTACAAAACCTTGCCTCTGAGTCCTTCGCTGCCTTCTAGTCTTCGTTTGTATATATTTTCCCCTGACTTGGTGAAGGAGCAAATAAGGAGACCTTGGTAACCATGTTATGTAGAGGAAAAAAAAAAAACCCTTTGTACTTTATCAGGGTGGCATAGGAAGCATTGTTTCTGTGGTTCCTCCCTTGTACCGTCCCACAGACCTGGTCTCCTCTCTTTCTGCATCACAGCCTTGCCTGTGTCAGTCACAGACTCTTCAGTCTGAAGAAACATCTGCCTACATTTAAATGCTTGAGCTTAAAACCCTTTCACGAATTCTGTCTCAGGCTTATTGTGCCTTGGCCTGTGCATCTACCAGTGTACTCCCAGGACAGGAACCCGCCAGAGAATGTGGCTCCTCAGCCACTGTTAAACTTGTTCAGATAATTTGTAGTCCATGAAGTGCGCTTTTACCATCTGTTTCCCACACTTGGTAATGACCAGGAAGGCGCAATTCCCATAGGGTTTGGGACTTTGCCTTCCTTGTTCTGTCCATCAGTGAGGGTCACCAGCATCATCGGAGGTGGTTGCCATCATCTTTAATTATGCGTTGACTAGGTCAGCTGTAAAATGGTAATGACTGTCATCACTGACCTAAATCTGCTTCAAAGGAACTGCAAAAGTGTCTGCCTCTACAGCTAATCTCGCTGGCCATCCCAGCTCTGCCAAAGTAGAATTTGTACAATTAGCTGTGATCACAGCACCTACCTGTTCAGGGTGTTGGCTGAAAAAGTAAATAGCTGCCATTTTGTCTGCACCTGCCATTAATTTCATCTTGGATTTGTTTTCTTTCCTGTTGGAATTGATTTTGGTGGCTGATAGTCCAGGCTAATGAAGACAATTAAAATACCTAACATAAGACACAAGCAAGAATTACTGAGCACCTCTCCTTGAGGAAGGAGCCTGATCTTTGGGGCTGAGACTAGAATTATGCTGCCATCTTGTGGTTAAAATAGCACCTGCTTTTAAAGCAGAAGGCCAATGGTTTCACTAATGATTGAATCACTAATTCATTAAAATCAAGGAATAAGTGGATTTTAAAAGATCATAATAGGATATGGAGATTTCAGTTCAAAATAAGTAACCAGACCCAATTCTGAAAGGATCCCCAGTAGAAGCCCCATAACTGCAAGCATTGACCTTTCTCTGGGCCAAAGGTCAAGTTCAAAATTGCATAGGATTGGAGGATGGAGGAGAACTGCTGCCTCTTTTCCAGCAATACCATACATTTTCATTAACTTGCAGTCTCCGGTCATGATTTTATATCCGTGCATCCAACATGAAGCTTAATCTTAAAAAGAAAAGAATTGACCTACAATTATTAAACTATATCTCAGATTATATTCATATTACCATCTTCTGCAACTCATGTTAGTGTGGATTCAGGTGCCATAATAAGTCTCAGTTAAGTACAATAAAAATAAATGCTCCTCCTTGCCCTATGTTGAACTCAAAAAATATTTACACGTCATCTGACAACTGATTTTTTTTTTGACAACAGAATTTTTTTTAACTTCAAAGACATAATACTTCTTCTCTCCCTGGAGCATACACTCATACACACAAGTGCTCACCCTCATCCCTGCCAAGAACATAGAGCACAAAGTCACACGTCGCACCTACACACAGGAGGAGGCGGTCTTCTACACACATAGGATGATGCAGTCCATCTGTGCACATGGGTATGAGGAGGTGGCAGGAGGCAGTACTGGCTCAATTGTAGATTGGCCATCAAAATTTAAGGTAAGAGGAAAAAAAGGGCACCAAATTATGAGAGAAGATCCACAAAGAAAGAGACTAAGAGAAAAGTATAGCAGATCTCTAAAATGGGACACTCCTACTTAGGAGAGCTGATGTGAGGACAAAAGGAGGTCACGTGTGTGGATGTCCTCCCACCCCTGCACACCACACACACAGGTGCACTGCCAGGCCCTACAGGAGGTGGGTGGCAGCTGCTGCTGTCCCTCTGCTCCCCCAGTACTGCTCACCACCACTGCTATGGCCTTGTCCTCCCATACAGTGGCAGTGGGAGGCCTCTGAGGTGGAAGCTGCTCAAACAATTGGAGCACTTGTCCCTGGGGTTTATGCCATCTCCCACTCGGAAACCTGGACCAGATGGTCATTCTTTCCACTGTGAGATTTTTGTTCAGGGTTAAAACTTTGGGGAAAAGGTATTTCTTTCAGCAGCTTTTCAGAAAGTTCTAATTGAAGGGGAGTAGGCCAGGAGTTCTGACACATTTTCTCTGGGTTCCATCCTTTATTCAGGAGTTTATAATAATCCCCTTTCATCCTCTTTCTCCCTGCACTGCCCTAATAGACTGGCTCCCCACCTTTTTCACTCTATTCCACTGGCTTCCCCCTGTTAGAAGAGAGAAGAGAGAGGAAAGAAGAGAAACACGAACAGAAATGGAGAAAGTGCTGGAGATCCCATGCCTGGCTTGCTGGTGGATCTGAGTAACTCACGCAGCCAGCTGTTTTCTAAGAATTTAGCACCTTATAAATAGGCATTGATTAATCTGCAGTGTGAATGAATGAAAGAACAAACAAATGTCTGTGCAACAGACAGTTTATGTGTGCTTCCTAAAATGTTTCATGGTTTGGACCCATACAGAAAAATTTGTCTCATATATTTTCATAGATCACTAGGATTTAAATGCTTCCTTGATGTATTTTAATAATCTATTCTGGTGGCAACTGGTAGAATCAGCTTAAAATGAATTGTTCTTTGCATCAACAGATTACAAAGGTGATTATTTTCATTCAGTTGCAGCTGCAAATATGCAGAAGCAAATTTAACTATTTATTATTGTATGCCTATAATATTTATAGGCATACCATATAACCAAACAGAGGAGGAAAGAAGTCTGTATTACACAGGAAGTTGTAACTTAAGTACTTATAGAGCATTATAGAGGTGTTTATGCTGACTTGCAGACCAAGGGAACAATCCACTTTGTCCCGAAGAATTCTCTCAGCATGATCTGTGTCTTGCTCTCCAGTTTCTTCCCATTCTTCAACCTTGAATACTCCAATAGATATGATCATGTTTATTTGGAGAAAACTTGGTCCAGCTGAATGAACTGCCTTTGCCAAAATGGCTTATACGTTCCCTCTTCCAGTCACACTCTGACTTGCTGCTGAGACACCTTAGAGCTGCCTGCAGGTGAGGACTCAGGGATGGCTACACAATTACAACGCTGTCATCGATGCAAATGCAGATGTAAACATCTCTTCTTCTCTTGCAAGAAAAATATTATTTTGAGTTATGATTCACTGTCCTAAGACCAAAATATTTATTTCCCTACTTCATTCATAACACTTGAGATTCAGTTCCAGATTCTTTCTTTTGAGAATGTTCTAGAACTGACCACACAAATGTTCTTTAAACAAGCCTCTCTGATGACAGATGATGATTAGCCTGACATACCACACAGTTTTCAAAATATCTGTGGTACTTACGATACTTAACAAAGGTAATCTGAACATTCTTGCATAGAGGCATCTCAGCCGGTGCAGGGGGCAGTGACCCCCAGTGAGCAGGAGCTTCTTTGAGGGGTTAAAAGCACAAGCTTTGGAGTCCAGAGGGTTGCACTCATCTTTCCCTGCTGGAATGCAGCTTCCTTGTCTGTAAAACGGGGACTAACAGTGCCTCCCAGCCAGGGTGGAGATGGCAATTAAATGAGGAACGCGTTTAGCAGAGTTCCTGGCACATACCAGGTACTAAAATGTACTCAGCACAGTTCTGCTTAATTAGTAGTTGTTTATAAATAGGTCTTATTTGTTGCTGGAGTTGTATTCTGAGTATATGCTTGTAGCCATTCATTTGAAAATGCAGCTCAGTGAAAACCAGCCCTGAAAATAAAGTCATATACCCCAAATAGATAACTGTGTATGCAGCTGAACAGAGAGGTTTTCTGTTCCATTGCTTGAATGGATCTTAAACTTTCTAAGAGAAGCATGGGTTGGGGGAGCTGGAGGCAGAAGAAATGACAGTGGAGGACAGGTGACGAGTTGCATTTTTGCAAAAACTATATACTGTTTTATACTGTTCTGGTAAAAAAAAAAAAACAGATCCAAATAAACATGCATTTATTTGCTTTGAAGAACTTAGGATCTTTATTTGGAAACATTAAAAATCCATCCCCCAAATATATCAAGATGATAAGGTATCCATTGCTCAAGTGCCGTGCTAGGCCTGGTACTTTCCCACTTTGCATTCTTATGCCAGACCATAGAGGGAAGCTGATTCTGGACTACAGAGGGGACTCTCCCAGAGTTGGGTTTCAGATTGCATCTGCTTCCTGCAGAGTCTGCACTGAGGCTTTACTCTTTTTTTTTTTTTTATTATGTGCCTTGTATGCACATATGAATAATAAGAGGCTTTACTCTTGACAGGACTCTTATCTACAGGTTGGGTATTTCCTACCCAAAATGCTTGGGGACAGAAGTGTTTGGGGGTTGGGTTTTTTTCTTTTCACATTTTGGAATACTTAAAGACGCATAATGAGGTATCTTGGGGAAGGAGCCCAAGTCTGAACATGAAATTCATTTATGCTTCATACTCACCTTGTATGCACAGTCCAAAGTTAATTTTAGACATATTTTTAGTATGCATGGTTTTTGTTTTGTTTTTGTCCACTCTAGAGAAGCCTTTATTGGGCCTAATGTCTCAACACCAGTGGGAAGCACAGGAGGGTGTCTCCTGGCCTCCTGGGGAAGTAAGCTTTTTTTTACGGCCTTGCACATGTATTTTGACTGCAACCTGTCACCTGAGGTCAGGTGTGGAAATTTCCACTTGTGACATCATGCCAACACTCAGAAGGTTTCAATTTTAGAGCATTTCATATTTTGGATTTTCGGATTAGGGTTGTTCAACCTCTACAGGGTTCTGGCACTTTTTACAGGAAGCGATTTCCAAGTGCTCTGGTCGCTCTACAGGACACAGCCCTCTACCCCCATGCGGCTGCCTTTGAAGGACTGATTTACTCCATCAGCTGTGCCACTTCCTCCTCCCACCATGGGCCCCGCAGGGAACGTGCTGAGCGGTGGACAGACGCAGATAGTCCTGTGGGGAAGTTTGGCAGCTATCGCCATGTTCTTCCTCATCGTCTTCCTCATCTTTCTCTGCTCCAGTTGTGACAGGTGAGAGCCAACCTGTATCTAGCGGGAACTTAACCTCTTCCCTGTACCCAGTAGAGAAAAAAATACCCCTGCGCAGACATTGGCAGAGACTCTGAGGTTAAGACCAGCTCATGTTTTTCTGTTGCAAAGAGACATTCTTTGTTCAGTAAATGAAAATCCATATTGATTTTGCTGGGGAGCAATGCAAAAAATCCCCTTCTATATTTTAAATTTCTCATAGTGAAATTCCTGCTATTCTTTTCAGCATGTCCTTGTCAAAACTTATATTGTCCTTTTTCTATCTGTGGACATTTTGAAGTCTAAGTGACCTGTATCTTTTTACCACCACTTGGAAGTGACTGAATATCTTTGCTGTTACATGACTTTGGAGGAATTGCTTGATATTAAAAATGTGTAGGAAGTGTTAAGTGAAATAAGCCAGACTGAGAAAGGTAAATATTGCATGTTCTTTCTCATATGTAGAACCTAGACCTTAAAAAAAAATGACATGCGTGTGAAAAGGGGAGTGAATATGATCTAAGTACGTCATATGCATGTATGAACATAGAATAATAAAACCCATTAAAATTATTTTAAAGGAGGGAGGGGTAATAAGAAAGAGTATTAGAGGGCGAATTTGATCAATGTATGGAAATATCACAGTGCACCTCCTTTATATAGCAAAATGTGACACAGAACTGCAGTTTCTGAAAAAAAAACAGGTTCATTTCCCTAGAACAATGTTGTATTGTTTTAGCATTATACTCTGTCTCTCTTCTCTGTCTCATATAGAATGTCAGCACCTCAAAAAAGAGATCTTTACTCAAAGAGAAGTAAAGTTCTTGCTAAGCAGGAGTGATTTCTCAAGACATTGGGAGCAGTTACAATGCATGCAGCCTTCTACCATAAACCACGAGGTTTCATGCCCCCAGAAGAGACCTGACAAGTGTCACGTAAAACTCTGATATGGCTTCCTATCCTGAAATATTCCAGGAGAAGAAAAGCCAGACTCTAACCCTGACAAAGCCTCCCAATCCCTGGCCAGCTTGGACCAGTCTGATGGCCAGGAACAAGGAAATAGAGGTGACAAGCACTGGCTCCTCTGGGCCTAGGAGGGCCTCTCGCTGAAATTACTGACTCTCCCACTAGATGGCACTCTCACCTCATACACAGATAGGAAATGTCTACAACCCCTGGCTGTTAGATTGTACTGAGTAAAAACACATTCTATTTTTACCTGACAGACTTTTCCATAAACTAGAAGTACATATGACTCATCCTGAGAGCATGTACTCTTCATACCATTCCAAGATTTGTATTTTCTTTATTTTCTTGTTCCACTGCAGTGTGTGACTTTGCAGACTTTAAGTGAGGATATGAGATAATTGTTTGGATTTCCTAAAGAAAAAAAAAGAAAAGCTAGCTCATCCCAGAGTTCTAGGTACAATAATTTCCACTCAGGACCCTGCGTGAGTGCTCTCATTGTGACTTATTATCCTCTCCTCCCAGGGAAGGAAGCTCTCCAGAAGGGATCAGTCCCTTGCTGTCAGGCTTGACCTCCTCATACCTTTCATACCTGTAAGACCATGTGGTGGCCCAGTTTTTTTTCTTTCTTTGCAAAATAAATGTGGTTCTTAAAACCAGAAAGATTTTAAAGTTGATAAGAACTGGAATAGGAAAGAGTATCGTGTGTGTGATTTTAAGGGACACATTTGACATTAGAACATTTTATTTTCCATTTCAGAGAAAAGAAGCCAAGACAGCATAGTGCGGACCATGAGAACTTGATGAACGCGGTGAGTCTGTGCCTATCTGTCTGTCTGCCTGTCTGTCTCTGTGTTTTAAAATGTCAGTTGCACCGGGAAGTAGTGAAGAGGTCAGGTAGAGATGAATTAATTCGGGTTGTAATACATATGTACATGGAAGCAATGCTAGGAATCTCTCTGTATAGCTATCCTTATCTCAACTAGCAAAAACACTTTGTCTTTCTTATTATTGCTTATGTCTACTCTTCAACAAAATTGGAGGAAAGGGCAGAACAGGTTCTGCCTGGAAGCAAGGGGCCGGGGGTGGGGGGAGAGGGAGGGATAGGGGGAGAGAGATGGCCCAAACAATGTATTTATATGAATAAATAAACCAAAAAATAAAAATAAAATGTCAGTCGCCCATCCAGGTATGTCATCTCTTGCTTATGACCTGAATGGAACCAACAGGCAGAGTAAGCAGAAGTGAACTATGAACCTGACATAGATCATGTCCACCAGGGCTTGAGCCAGGTTTGCTGACAGCTCTTCTGAAAGTGGAACAGTTGTACTCCCAGCTCCAGTCTTCTGTGTGGTGTTTCTGTTTTGCCTCTGCTCAGTCCTTGCCAGTGTGTTAGTCTAGGAGGTTTAAATAACAAATTCATTGTGTCTCAATTCTGGAGGCCAGAAGTCCAAAGATTAAGGTTTTGGTTCCTTCTGAGATTGGGTTCCTTCCAGACCTTCCCTGAATTCTGGTAGCTTGCTGGCAGTGTTTGACATTCTTTACTTTATGGTTGCATTACCCCAGTCTCCGCCTCTGTCTTTCACATCAGCTTCCCTCTCTGGGCCCGAGTTTTCCCTTTTTGTAAAGACATCAGACATATTGGACCACCCTGACCTTTTGTGACCTCACGTTAACTAGTGTCATCTGCAGTGACCCTGCTTTTGAATAATGTTGCATTCGGGTTAGGGCTTCGGCAGGAATACGGTGGAGATACAGCTCCACCCATAACAGCTCTCCAGGGGAACCCACAACACCACAGGTACAGCCTGGCTTTGCTGCATTTCCCCAGCCCTCTAGCATCTCACAGGGTCCTAATGAGTCCTGAGGGTCTCAGGTATCCATCCTAGTGAGGAGCAGCCTTTGACTGTCCTGTCTTGTCCTTTGCCTCAGCACATGCCTTTAAATGTTCAAGCAATCCCAACAGCTAGGGACATATCCACCTTCATATCCACAAGACTGTGTTCAGAGTCCTGTCTGAGCCCTGGAACAGTGTTAAAACAAAACAGACTTCCTGGCCAGGTGCCGATAGCTCATGCTTGTAATCCTAGCTACTCAGGAGGCAGAGATCAGGAGGATCATGGTTTGAAGTCAGCCCAGGCAAACAGTTCGAGAGACCCTATCTCAAAAATACCTAACACAAAAAAGGGCTAGTGGAGTAGCTCAAGGTATAGGCCCTGAGTTCAAGTCCCAGTACTGCAAAAAAGAAAAAGAGAACCAGGCTTCCTGTGCAGAACATCATTTCTCAAGGATAAGACTGGTTGAGGGAAGAGAGTACAAAAAAAAGGATGTATGGATGAGTCAGATATATAATAGGATATCCAGTATCAAATGTGCAGCAAGGAGACACATTCAGAACACACACAGGAGGCTTCTCCGGAATTCTCCAGACTCCTGTAGCCCAAGCAGGCAGGAAGTTGCCAGGACTCCTGGTGCCTCTCGGGGTTGCAGGGTTTCCTTTGCTGTCCTATCTGCACATGCACACTCTCTTAGCTCTCGTGGGCCCTCAGCTTCAATCTCCTTTAGCCCTTTTTCTCACCCCATTCCCACCCTGGTGTCCATGTCATCCACATCATCTCTACTTTTCTGTCCTGTCTAGTGACTGCTGCTGTAGGGCTGTCAGCAGGGGAGGTAGAATTATGGGGGACACCTTTCAGTGTTCCCACACACAGATCCCAGCTCCATCTTTCTTCACTTACCACCTGCCTCAGAGCCAGGTGCGCAGTGACATGGGGCTGGGGCAAGGCTTTCACCTCGACCCTGGCTGCTTTCCAGAACAGGGATGTGCAGGTGCAGCTGGACCACCAGTAGCAGCAGCAGTACCTATGAGCTTGTGAGATCTCCAAATACTCCTGGGGTAGGGTCCTGCAATAGGGAGCAGGTCCTCCAGATGAATCTAGTGTATGCTCCAGCATGAGAGACAGTATTCTAGAGCTTCCATCCCTGCTGTTCTATCCAAGGTCAGCAACAACTCTGGGTGGGATAGGAAGAGTGGCAGTGAATAAAGAAAAAAAATAAAATGCTGACTCTGCATTTTCATCCTCATACACCACCTTAATTACTGCCTCTCCTAGCCTCACTTGCATGACTGATGTCTGTGAGCTTGTGCACACGTAAGAACCCACGCTCACCGGCAGTGGTGCCTGCGTACATGCAATTGCCCATCTAGCCCGGATCCTTCAGCTCCTACATTGTGTACAACTTGCAGATTCCTGTCTCATAGCAACGAAGATTAGAACGGTGGTCAGGACACAGATTATGAAATCCAGCTGTGTGATGGAGTGCATTGAAGAAGGCTTCTTCCTTCTAGGCGCTCCTGCCCTATCAGGACATCATTCGGGAATGTGAGCACCTACATCTTAAGTTCCCGGTCACATACACAATGGCCATCACATAGGGAAGCAGATGTGAGTGGCATTGACCTGCAACAGCAGACTTTGAGACACTTGTGCCTCATTAATAGGAGGGCTATTTGCCAATTACTTGATTCTCTGTCAGGAGTCAGAGAATTTGGGAGACCAACTAGCCAAGGTTCCTGTGCTGTTATATCAGAACTTTCCACGTGGACTTCTGGAGCCTGAGGTTGCTCTTGGGTCACAGAGGCCATGAAAATGAAAAGGATGAGGGGAAAAATCATACACTGATTTTCTAAATACAACTCAGTTATTTAAAGAAATACATTAAGAACCAACTTATTTCTGCCTACCCTTAGCAATAGCTCAGCCTGGCATATTGTTCCAGGCAATGTCCACACATTCTAGCCCAGCAGGAAACAAACTGACAATGCCTTTCTTCCCTCCAACTGTTCTGTGTTTGTGAGGATAGGAAAGGTTTGCAAAGCTATTTTTTAGAATGTGATTGTTTTGTGAACCATGAAGCCAGTGACTTAGCTGGTTCTGAAATAGTCTCAGAAATCAATAGTACTATCTGTGTTTGAGCAGATTTAAGTCTATTCCCATCAGAGGACAATGGGTGATGCTTTGCCCTGATTTCACATGCATGTTACAAGGATGAAGCTGCTCGCTGCTGGAATCAATTCAGACCAGCATTGGGACTTCTGGTCTCCACCCTGCCTTGAGCCATGGGGACCTGATATGTCACAACCTACCTGTAACCCATTTGTAAATCACCAGGTGGAAAGCTCTGCCAATGGCCCAGGAAGATGGCCAGTGCACCTGAAATTCTGGAACCATACTGCCTACTAGGACCTTCCACAATGACGGAAGGGCTCTGTACTGGTGCTGTCTCATGTGGTTTCCATTAAGCACTTGAACTCAATTTCATTGAAATCTGAAAAGTGGATTCTGGTTTTTTGCTTCTGCCATTTTGAGTTTTAGAAAAAGCCATCAGTGTCCTTCTTGCTGTGCAATGGATTCTAAGCAATGTGGATGCATTTGTTTTTTTGCAGCCTTCAGACAAGGAGATGTTCAGCCGTTCTGTGACCAGTCTGGCAACAGATGCTCTTGCTAGCAGTGAACAGAATGGGGCACTCACCAATGGTGACAGTAAGTTCTGCAAAAATACAAGCTCCCCATGTGGCCTCATCACCTACAAAAGTGCTAGCTTTCAAAAAAATGGAATCCAGAAACTAGAAAATGTTCTTGCTCACTCTTATTATGACTCCCAGTTTAAGCAAACAATCTCATTTGGGTACACAGTATCTAATATCTACTCATTGGCTTCTGTGTGTTAAGATGTATATGTGTGCTAAGTCACCCACCCCAGCCCTGAAAGATTAGTTCTAACTGTAGTAATATCATTTCTACTTTGAGGACAGGCACTGTTACCATCCCAGGTTAAAGGGAGAGATTTGTAGCACATTGCTACTGGATCAAATCACCTCAAACCTAGTTCCTTAAAACAACACAAATTTGTTAATGGACAATTCTGGAGGTGCCAAGCCTGTGATGGCCTTGTAGGGCTAAAGTGGAGGCATCAGCAGACCTGCATTTCTTCCAGGAGCCTCTTAGGGAGACTCCATTTCCTTGCCTTTTTCAGTTACCTGCATTCCTTGCTCTGTGGCCTCTCCCTCCATCTTCACTTCTCTCTCTGATTCTCTAGCCTCCATCTTTCACTATAAGGACCTTGTTGTTTCATTGCGCCCATCTGTTAATCCAGGGTTCTTTCCCCATCTCAAGATTAGTTGATTAACCCCTTCGGTCCATCTGTAGCCTCAATTCCCCTTGCTGTCTGTGTAATGTAACATGTAGTTTCCAGGAATTAGGAAATGGATTTGTTGAGAGACCATTCTGCCTGTCACAGCAAAGTTAATAATTTTACTAAGAACTTACAGGAACTGAGCTTCCAGATCTGCATGTGAATCAGACAATCAGAATCTTGGGTTTTCATTCAGAACACTCTACCTACCATCCATTTCACACACTGTATTCTCTCACTAACAGAAACAGCAAGTAGGATTGCTTCTCAACTTGACAGCTTAAGATGCATTTTTTCACCTGTGGTAGGAGATGGTCCTGTGCCCCCCTTTATTGATAAGGAAACTGGGGAGGTTGGTCAGTATTAATACCCAGGTTCTCAGACCCCAGGGCCCATTCTTTTTCCTCCATGATTCAGCTGATCAGAACCAGAGGGCCAATGGCCACCCCTTCAGGATGAGGAGGCATTAGAGCACCTGGGGGTGTTAAATTCAGGGGGCTAGGAAGCAGTTATCATTCTCCTATTTCCCCCATGGGGATACTATTTCCAATCCCCCCAAGGTGATGCACGGTGATGTAAGAACATGCTCGCTGTGTGTAAGCAGGGCAGGCCTCTGTTCTGCTCACTGATGCATCTCCATCTCCTCGGACCATACCCAGCACATAGTCAGCACTCAAAAAAACATTTGGATTCATGTGGTACCATTTCTGTGGCAGTCTAGGAATTTCACATTTGGTTTTGTTTGGTTTGGTTTGGTTTGGCAGCACTGGAGATCGAACTCAAGGCCTTGTGATGGTAGGCAAGCGCTCTACCACTTAAGCCTTTTGTTGTCTTTCAGATAGGGTCTTGAACTTTTGCCTGGACCAGTCTGAACCCATGATCGTCCTACCCCTACTTTCTGAGTAGCTGAGACTACAGGCATGCCCCACCATGCCCAGCTTATTTTTGAGATAAAGTTTCACTAACTTTTTCCCAGGCTGGCTTTAAATCCATGATCCTTCTATCTCTGCCTCTCAAATAGAAGAAGTTCACATTTGGATGTCATAATTTGAGGTAGAGATGTGGGGCTGGAGGTGAGATGGAAGAAAGACCTTTAAGAAGATGTAGAATACTGAGGCCTTTGGTGATACTGAGTTAAGGATATATTTTTGTACTGTTGCTTCCATTATGTCCACCAAATGAAAATGACCTGTGAAAGGGAATGGTTACCAGCTATTCCTTCCTGGAGTTCGTTCCCAACCATTGTCACCTTCCTCCTCTAGTCACATGGATACTCTGCCTATATGAGTCTCATCAGGAGTAACAATAGGTTATGAAAGTAATGGCAAGCCAGATTATAGCCAGGTAACTTATTAAATCATGTACCAGGAAAGATATAATGGATGGCTTCCATTTAAACTGAGGTCAAAATAAGAACGTCAGCTGACATAGTAATGTCCATAATTTGTAGCCAAGCATCAAATAAAAGCAAGCATCTTGATTAAACCTAATGTTTTGTTGTCTGATTCACTGTGAGAGTTATTTAAGAAATTGTCTTCTTCACTTCTAATACTTCTGTTCCTTCAGTTCTTTCAGAAGACAGCACCGTGACCTGCATGCAGCATTATGAGGAAGTCCAGACCTCTGCTTCAGATCTACTAGACTCCCAGGACAGCACAGGGAAGCCAAAATGTCATCAGAGCAGGGAGCTGCCCAGGATCCCCGCTGAGAGCGTGGTGGACACGATGCTCACCACAAGGGGTGTGGATGGGGACCAGGGGCCAAGCATGGAAGGGCCGTATGAGGTGCTCAAGGACAGTTCCTCCCAGGAAAACATGGTGGAGGACTGCTTGTATGAGACTGTGAAGGAAATCAAGGAGATGGCAGCAGCTGCGCCCCTGGACAAAGGCCACAGTGGCAAGTCCAAGTCTATTTCTGCCTTGAAAGAACTTCCAGGGACCCAATCGGAGGGCAAAGCAGAGTTTGCTGAATATGCCTCTGTAGACAGAAACAAAAAGGGGCGCCAGAGTGCTAACGCTGAGAGCATCCTTGGAACGCCATGTGATCCTGAAGAGGAGGCCCCACCACCTGTTCCCGTTAAACTTCTGGATGAGAATGAAAACCTTCAGGAGAAGGAGGAGAGAGAGGCAGAAGAGCGAGCCATGGAGGGGACCAGTGAAACCAACAAGGTGGGTTGTGGCACTTTCATTTAGTAGGCTTTTGTTCTGATGAGGAGTCTGCTGGTCTGAGGATTTGCTTGCACATTGTCCTGGGAAACATAGACAAACACTTGCAAGTTTGTTTAATGATGAAAGTTGTTTTAGCGTAAGCTGTGTTTGGCTTTTCCCCCTTCTAAAAATAATAAAACACTGAAAAATCATGTTTATAAAACATTTCTCTCTCAGCACCTTACTTGGATAATTTCCAATTTTTACTTCATGTCTAATTTTTTTTTCACTTTGAAGGCCAAGAATTAAATAAAGACTAGACTCTGCCCACATATTTTATCCCTTCTGCTTGTTGCTACCTCAAGTAGCATGGTGATCTTGACCCTTCAGGATCCCAGAAATCAGATCATAGCAACATGTACAAAGTGAGCTGACAAGCAGGTGCCGCTGATTACAGCTGATTATGGATACTTTCATATAAATCAATGAAGAGGAGAAGGCTTATTTTGCAGCCATTTCTAGGCAATAACCTATAACTCCGAAGTTTAGTCACTCAACAAAGCTGTAAAACATGCTAGCAGTTCACGGCTTTCTGTGCATGTGTCTAGTTTGATATGTGAGCCACAATAAACATCTCCAGTTGTCAAAATCTTGGGATTTGACTAGACCCAGTCTGTGTCAAGCAGACTAATGTGTAATTACCTAATATCTAATTGCTGTTCTCTACACAGAAGAAAAGCAAAGTTCTCTTCTGCTCAGGTTTTGGTAGGAAAGGAAGGTTCAGAGAAGATAGTCAATTGTAGACTTAAAAAACACTCCTAGAATTCATGTCAGAACCCAGGCTGTTATTGTGTTAATTACACTAAGGATCCCATTCTTTGAACTGTTCTTTGAATGCATTTCAGCTTTTCAGATTACCCATAAAATCAGCTGTTGAGAGCACCAATAAAAGTGTTTGTGAACATGTACAGAAAGTACAAGAATGCAGCCTGATGTGTTGCCCTTTGTATAACCAAAGATGATAAAACCCATGTAAATTTACACTGCCTACACCAGCCTTTTACTGACAGGCATTTGTAAGATAAGAGGTCATTATCTAACCCTACTAATAAACACTTCTTCAGATTTCACATTACAAATAGGAAATACCCATTGGGAACCCACATTATCTTCTTACAATATAATAAGAATGAGTGATCCATCCCCTCCTAACAAACAATCCTAATTTTAAGTGAACTGAGAATTTGAAATGTTTAATATTCATTCATTTATTCAAGTGAAAGGTTTGGATGAGTACCTATTATGTGCCATATGTTCTTCTAGGTGCTGGGAAGATACCCATAACAAAATACATAAATGAACAAAACCTCCTGTCTCTGTTAAGAACTGATAGATATAAGGTAGAAACTTTCTAAAGAAAGTTTAAAGAAAAAAACAGAATAAGAGGAATGGGAAAATGGTGGAGGGTACAATTTTGGGTAGAGTAGCCAGGGGCTGCCTAGGTATGCAGGTGACCTTTGAGCAAAGGTAAACGAAGTGAGGAGGGAGTTACACACGAGCTCCTTGTGGCACTTATGCAAGTGGCTGTTTCAGGAAGAGCACATGAAGCAGTGGGAATGGCCAGTGTGAAGCCTTTAGTCTAGGGCTTGGCTGGCTTATAGACAGAAGAGGGAGGGCGTCTCCTGGTATAGCTGGAAAGGGAAGAACAAGGAGGTACCCAGATACAATCCTAGATGGCCTGGTCTTTTAGTTTAGATAAGAACAAAGGCAGCAGAATGGCACAACCCAACCCATGTTTTAAAAGGGTCTTTCTGACTGCAAGTAGACTATAAAAAGTGGAAGCAAGAATACAATTTAGGTCACCTCTCTGATAACTGGATAAGAGATAGTAAGGCTTGGGTCAAAGCAGAGGCAGCAGAAGTGATGAGAGAAGCTACACTGGGGTGAAGAGATTTGCTGGTCCATCATGTGTGTAGTAGAGAAAGAAGAGAATGATGCATTCCAAGGTCTGACCCAAGCCACTAAACAAATGTGATCACCATGAACTGAGATACTGAGATGGAGGTGGCCACGGACAGGGTGGGAATGGGGGATGCTGAGCACTCAGTGCTGGAAACATTTCATTTGTGATATGGATTGGACCTCAAGAGGGCACATCAGAGAGTAGCTGTGTGTGAATAGATGGTGGTGACCCCATAGAAAGGGGAAAACCGACTGTGTAAACAACACACAAGAACTGTTGGAGCTGTACTCCAACAGTGAGGGGCAGGGCATGTAGGAGGAGATGCCTTAGAAACATGGCAAGTGTGAAAATAGAACACAGGGACTGGGGTGGGGAACAGAGTGAAGTTCATAGAAATTTCTTCTGCTTACTTCCGTTTTCTCAGTGAATTAGGAAGCAGTCATCAGGTCAGAGTGAGGCTGTTGGAGGTTTGGGGAAAGAAGAGAAGATGCAAAACTAACAGCTGGGGGGCAGGGAAAGAACTGGATGTACAGGAAGGGTTACGTGATACACAGCAGCGTTGTATATGGTGCACAGTAGCACTGTACATGCATTAAGGGCTCCTCACTCACAGCTCAAGCTCCGCAGTGACCATGGAGAGAGCTAGCATTAAGTATGACCATGATGATTGACTATAGAATTTAAGCTTTGTGAAGCAGGAAGGAAAGACATCAAGAAGTAGGTGTGGAGAGAGAACTTGGCTCTCAACAGTGTTGAAAGAGTGTTGGAATTAGATTATAGAAATAGCCGAACAATGAGTGCTGGTGCAAAAGTTGCTTGGTTAGGGGGGCAGCTGTGAGTTTGGATAAGTGAAGGTCTGGGTCCAGCTGTGAGAGTTAAGGAGGGTGGGGGGAAGAGTCAGGTGGAGCACAGCATCAGTGGGGTGGAGAAGGGCAGGGACCTGAAGGGCAGGGTTTAGAAGGATACACATTTGTTGAAATCACCAAGAATTGAGACAGGAAACATGTGTGAGAGACAGTTGGCAAACCAGGAGCCAAATCATTGGGAAGTGAGAACCCACAACGTAGGAACTGACTTCCCCATTAGCTTAAAGTGTTACCACATGACTTCAGGAACTTTCTGATGAGCCTGCAGAATATAAAGATGTAAAATTCAGGCATGTGATAAGGAAAAGTCTTTCTTATTATCAGTTCCTCACTAGTGATCAATCCTTCAGTGGCAGGAGTTAAAATAGTAGTCTAAATAATTATTTTGCTTCTCTGCCTACAGATTTAAACATGAAATAAGAAGAAATTTCTCCATGTGTTATATTGTGAGGTATCCAAGAACATCATGCAGAAATAGATTGTGTGTTTCTTTGTGCCCCATAGAAATCGTTTAAAACATTTTCATAGACTGATAAGTAGGAATGTATGCAAAGAAAAAAGTTTGGATTATTGTCTTCAAACTACTTTCCTTTGGTTTGTGCTTGTTTAACAGAGATTTAGCTCATTGTCATACAAGTCTCGGGAAGAAGACCCAACTCTGACAGAAGAAGAGGTAAGGGTTATTTCTTTTTAAATAAGTAGAGAGAATAGAATGTCTCCCCTTGAAAACATAACAAATGCACTGTAATCTTTCCCCTTGTCTGAAACAGCTACAATGCTCACTTAGCCTCTGTTTGAAGGTCTAGCTTTGGGATGTTGGCTTTATATCTTGGGATCATGACTGGCACATGGTAAGCCAAGTCTGACATATTGAGCAGGTCAGGAAAGTAAAAGAAACTGGAGTGAGGGAAAGAATAGAAAGGAGAAGGAAGATGTGAGAATGAGATGAGAGAAATTTCAGTATGGGCACTTCAGTCCACAGCTAGGAAAACCACATTAGAAGGAAATGAACAGTAGGAAATTCTAAAAATTGGAATGGGGGTGTAGGGAATTTAATTCACTCTGGGAGACTGAGGGAGAAGGTTTCAGTAAGGAATTCCAGGCTGGAGCTATGGACAGACATTGCAGCAAAAAAAGAGATTATGTATTCTAAAGAACTAGGGCTAAAAATTCAGTAGCTACACTGTTAGTGAAGCCTTAAAATCATAAAATGCAGTAAATATGCTACATGTGGGGCTGGGCTAAGACAGGGAGCTAAGCACCTTAAGTGATGTGGCTGCAGATAGGTGGGCTGGAATTCCCAGCCCAGGTCCTGTACCTGTACAAGGCCTTTGTGAGTCTGCAGATGCACCACCTCCTATAGGACTCTGAGTAAAAATAAAGTATGAAGAAAGCCCCCCTCACTGAAGGTTCAAGGAGCAGAAGTGCCTTCCTTGGGTGACATTGCCTAACTCCCTACATGCTGCCTTCCCCTGGGAAAGAACCTGCCATCTGTCTACCTGGTTGCACAAGCCAAAAACTCTGGAGGTCATCCTTGATGGAGGTCATCCTTGATACTTCTGCTCCCTCACTGTCCCACATGCAGTCAATTACCAGCTCCTTTTCAATGTACCGCCAAACTTTGTCACATACGCCAGCTCTACTGGGACCACCCTCACTAGCCCACAGTAGTCTCCTCCTACTGAGTTCTGGGCAGCTCCTTCACCTCCCTCTAGTCTGGTTTCTATAGGCCAGTGACTCCATTTGGAATAAGAAAGGAAAGCATGAAAGAGATCTGGGAACTAATCCTTTAAAATAAATCAATTCTGTGTAAACTTTCAAAGTACTTTACTTCTTATATTTGTTCATGGTTTGTAAAAATAGCACCTACTTACACTGATGAATTTTAAACATAAAATAAAGAACTGTGATTCACAAACATTCATTTTAGCAATTTTTGTATTGTATGTTAAACAGCCCAGACTGAAACTAATGTGTGTGCTTTAGGTAACACTATCCCAATTTAAAAGAATGATGAAGAGAGAGTACATTATAAAAAGATGAGAAATGGAAAAAAAGGAAGAGTAATTTATGAGTAATAAAAATTTACAGAATAAATAAAGATGAAAAATTTTAAGGATAAAAATTTTAAACCTAAATGGCAAGGGGTCTTAAAGAAAAACCTGTATACAAACTAGAAATAACAGTTGTGAAGGACAAATAATCAAAAGGAATATTAAAAGTCTTGAGAAAATTTTATACAAATTGGAGTGTCAAATGTTATCCTTGGCATGCTAGGTTGATTCCCAAAGTCAATTTTATGTTGCAAGTTAATTCAAGAACTGATAATTTAAAAAAGTACTAAAGGTCCAGAAAAACCAAGAACTCTTACAAAGAGGATGGACGTTAATGGTGGGAACCATGGGAAAGGAAGTTGAGAGAAAGGGCAGTGAGGAGCCACCTGGCACTGTTACCATGTATGTGAAGGTAGGTTTGTCCTCCACGATCTCACTCTTTAAGGTGAGTTGGCTGTTTCTCCATCACTGCCATCCATGGTTTTCCCCTTCATAATCTGTCTGTGTTTTTGACTTGGACCACCTTTTTCATAATAAATTCCATATGTTTACACCTGACTATAAGAAACAGTAGATTTTCTTTTATCCTTCCTAAATTCAAAGAAATAATAAATTCTTGTGTCGAGAGCAAATTTTCTGTTAGGACCTCCAAGGTGAGAATGTTAACTTACTATTCATTATTAGAACAGTCAGGTCAACATGGCAAGAGTTTTCCAAAGCTTATTTTTCTGTCAAGGCCTAGAGAAACCAAGTGAAAACTTCTCATGCAAATGACCAGTTAACACGCAGCAGGCCGCCCTCCTTCAGACATTTCTGAGGCCAGCTGGAAACCTCACCCATAGTGTGTGAGATCTGGGAACGCAGAAAAATGTCTCTCAGCACTCGGGAAGCATGTTTATTTATTTCCTGAGAATGAATTAATCACTGTAGAAAAAACTAAATAAGTACATAAATACAGATAGTGAAGGATATATTTTATTTCCAACCATGACTTCTACCAATACAGTAAAATTGCCCAAATACCTTAATCAGTACATTTAATCTCAAAAAAACAACAACAGTGCACACACACACAAAAAGAATTCCAATGAAGGAAAGTCCAGTCCTTGGTGTCTATTTGATTATAGCAGGCAAGCATGTCAGAAGATAATGGAAAACATCCCCTCACGGGTGTACGCCTACTGCAGGCCACTCTGATTCAGGAAGCGTGGAATCACTACCTCAATGGTTCTTACCCTTTTGTGGGCATCAGAATGTGGGTACTGCCCAGAGTCTCTGATTCAGTGGTTCTGGGGTGGAACCTAAGAATTTGCCCTCCTGATAAATTCTCATATCCTGCTGTTGGAGTAGAAAGCCCATATTTAGAGAATATATGTTTTCTGCCCTTTTTGTAAAGCAGTGAAGCCTTTTCAGATTAAATATTCTGATATAGAAATCAAATGAAGCATGGTGTGTGGCCAAGTCCTGGGCTTCCTGAGCTCCACTCCGCCTGCTGCTGCAGTCCGTTTATGAGTGCCCAGGACGCTGTTTGCATGGGATTAAGTGAATATGACTCATCTACCTACAAAGTTACACAAATGTCTTCGTTATTCTCCA